ACACCTTCTTTGCAAGGCAGCAGGCTAGCATGAAAGCAAGCAGGGGAAATGCTAGATGCTTATAAAACCATCAGATCTCGTGAGAACTTACTGTCCCGAGAACACCAAAGAAGGAAACTGCCCCCAAGATCCAATGACCTCCACCTGGTCCCACCCTGCTTATAAAACCATCGGATCTCGTGAGACCTCACTATCCCGAGAACACCATGAAGGAAACTGGCCCCAAGATCCAATGACCTCCACCTGGTCCCACCCTTAACACTTGGGTATTATGGGAATTACAATCCCAGGTGAGATCTGGGTCAGGACACAGAGCCAAACCATGTCAACTAATAAAGGGGCTCAGTCAGGGCTTAAAACCCAGTTCTGCTTGACTTCACAGTCAATGATTTTTCCACTGCATTCTGCAAGTAGAAACTTCGTGATGCATTAAATCATCATAATATTAAAGAGAACGTCAATACAAACAATTGATCCATGAGTTAAACTGCTGTGAGGCTGAAATGACTTAATAGCTATAAAGATTTGTTAGGCTATCGTTGCAGAGAAACGAACAAACATCCAGATTCAGAACATAAAAAGTTAATCAAATCCAACCAATCTTTTCTAATAAAAGGGAACAATAGCAAAAATAATTCCAAATGGAATAACATAAATAATTCATAATATCACTGCATGTGTTTCAAGGTGAGCAGGTGTGTACAAACCTACTCCCAAAGATCACAGAAGCTGAAAGGCCAAAGAAAGAGGCTCACAAATCTAGTTTCTCGGAAGGAAACATTTAATAGAGACTTATGAACAGAAGCCATGTCCCCAGCAGCTGTGAGAAGAGATGGTGCATCTCCATGCTGTCACCCTCAGAGTGAAGAAACATAAACCAAAGGAAAAGAACGTGTAGGAGAATTGAAGTTGATCCCTCCGGTAGAGGCAAGAATGCTATGTGAATCTCCCTATGGGCAGGATTTATGGTCAAGGTTGTTTTGACCCAAGGGCAGGATTTAAGGTAACAGTAGATAAAAGTACAAATCTTAAAGTAATTCCCAGAATTCAGGTTAATCAGAAGTCAACATGTAATCTTCTATGAAATTAAACAGAAAAAAAAAAAAAAGTCAGCATGGCAGATTAGCATCCAAGACAGAGTTGCCTGAGCCTCCGTACCGTGCAGCACTTTACAGTTCCCCACCTGAGAGGGTGAAGGATATAGAAAAGCAAGATCAGGTACCGTAACCGCTATAGATGCTGGAGAGGCAAACAAGGAAGGTCTGCTGTTTAGTTTACCACAATATCCCTAGTGATGAGGGAAGGCAGAGAGGCAGGCAGGACTCTGGTCTGTGATTAAATAGAAAACTTTATTGTAAAGAACCCAGGAAATGGAAAAAGTAGAAAGACATTTCTTTCTATTTTTTAAAAACATCACCATAACTAAAAGAAAGTCTAGTAATAATAATAACGATAACAGTTGTACTTTATTTTTATTTTTTGTTTCTTTTTATTCTATCTTTTTAACAGTTGTACTTTATTAAGTGCCATATATATATATATATATATATATACATTTTTTTTTTTTTTTTTTTGAAATGGAGTTTCACTCTTGTTGCCCAGGCTGGAGTGCAATGGCGCATTCTTGGCTCACAGCATCTTCTGCTGCCTGGGTTCAAGCGATTCTCCTGCCTCAGCCTCCCAAATAGCTGGGACTACAGGTGCATGCCACCAAGCCCGGCTAATTCTGTATTTTTAGTAGACACAGGGTTACTCCATGTTGGTCAGGCTTGTCTTGTACTCCCCACCTCAGGTGATCCACCTGCCTCTGCCTCACAAAGTGCTGGGATTACAGGCATGAGCCACCACATCCAGCCAGCCTTCTATATATTTTTAGATGTTGGGGTCTGCGTTTATCTTTTTTTTTTTTTTTTTTTTTTGAGACAAGGTCTCTGTCACCCAGACTGGAGTGCAGTGATCATGGCTCACTGCGGCCTCGAATTCTCAGGTGATTCTCCCACCTCGGCCTCCCGAGTAGCTGGGACTACAGACAGTGCACCACCACACCAGGCTAATATTTTGTATTTTTAGTAGAGACAGGGTTTTGCCATGTTGGCCAGGCTGGTTTGGAACTTCTGGTCTCAAGCCATCCTGCCAACTTGGCCTCCCAAAGTGCTGGGATTACAGGTGTGAGCCACTGAGCCTGGACTGCATTGATCCAATTTAGCACTTGAAACTTCAGGGTGGTCTCGTCTATCTTCAGGCTGCTATGGCATTATGAGAGCTATTGAAAACAACTCTAACTCATCAGGAGTGGGAAGCTTTGCTGGGTTTAGTCACTTGAAAAATCACATTAATGAATACTTTCTGAGTTCCTTCCATGTGTTAAGTCTTGGAGTATGATTCATACAAATATAAATAAAATGACCCCCTTTGTCTTCTAAGAGCTTGGCTGTAGTAAGAGACAGAGATGGCAGCGGATAAAACAAGGCAGTGAAGGGAGGCCAGTGAGGATTACTTTTTGTCTAGTAATTAGGAATTATTCATTATACAGAAATGTCCCTAGCAACATTCATACTTAGAAAAGAGGTAGAAGGTAGCATTAAAGACAATGAACTCAAGAACAAGTGCTCAAATTCTGCCTCTACCAACTTATTACCTGACATCTCTGTACTTCTTTATTTTCACTTATAAAATGGGAGAGGTAACAGTATTTATCTCATAGGGCTGTTGCATCAACTAATACTGTCCTATATTTGGAAGAACGCCAGATACGTATATAATAGTAATTGTTGCTCTCAAAAAATGTTAGCTAATTTTTTCTTAGACATAAATATTAGCAATCTAATTATGGCCATTCTAAATGTGCTGTGTTAGTGCACATTCTCCTTAGACCTTCTAAAGGGAGAAAAGCTGTCTCTAAGATGTCTGTATACTCAAGTGTATTTCTGGCATTGCTCTAGGCAAGGAAATGTTTGCAGCCACAGTGCTTTGGGTCAAAGCCATCATTTCTTCTTGAGCACCATCTACATGCCAGGCATCCTTCGAGGCACACTAGGGATATAGCACTGGAGAGAACAGGCAAAACTCTCTGCCTGCCTGCCTGGCACTTACATTCTAGTGAGGAGAGACAGACAATAAACAATTTTAAAAGTACATTTTTCAATATGATAGAATGTAGTGACTTTGTCAAAAAATAAATTTTAGTGGTATGGAAAACACATTTTATAAGTAGAGTGGTCGGAGTAGGCCTGAGCATCACAGTGGCATTGAGCAGTGTCTTGAAGGAAGTGAATGAGTGAGCCCCGCAGGAACTTGGGAGGAGGGAATTCTAGGCAGAGAGGGCAATTAGGACAAAGGCCCTGAGATAGAACATATTTACCCAGGAGTCTAGTCTAGGAATATCGAGGAGGCCACTGTGGCAGGAGCTAAGTGAGTGATAAAAGGGAAGTAGGCAGTCAGGCACAGTGGCTCACACCTGTCACTCCGACACTTAGGGAGGCTGAGGTGGGCAGATGGCTTGAGCCCAGGAGTTCAAGAACAGTCTGGGCAATGTGGTGAAACCCTACCTCTGCAAAAAAAAAAAAAAATCAAAATTAGCTGGGCATGGGTCTGCATCTATAGTCCCAGCTATTCAGGAGGCTGAAATGGGAGGACTGCTTGAGCCCAGGAGGTTGAGGCTGCAGTGAGCTGCGATTGCACCACTGCACCCCAGCCTGGGTGACAAAGCGAGAACCTGTCTCAAAAAAAAAAAAAAAAAAAAAAAAAAAAAAAAAAAAAAAAAAAAAAAAAAAAAAAAAAAAAAAAAAAAAAAAAAAAATTCCAAGGTGGAGGAAATACATGGGGATGATCCGAAAAAAAGGAAGAAATGGATGATGTGGGTGAGAAAAGAAAATTGCTGGAGCACTTAACTGTTTAACTGTTGGACTGATCAGTGTAGACTTCTGTAGGGCAAACAGGACAGGGAAAAAAAAATTCCTCTAAAAAACCAGGCATTCCTAACATATGAAAAAAAGTTCATCATCACCAGTCATTTAGAGAAACGCAAGTCAAAACCATAATGAGATATCATCTCATGCCAGTTAGAATGGTGATCATTAAAAGTCAGGAAACAACAGATGCTGGAGAAACAGGAATGCTTTTACACCATTGGTGGGAATGTAAGTTAGTTCAACCATTGTGGAAGACAGTGTGGCGATTCCTCAAGGATCTAGAACCAGAAACACCATTTGACCCAACAATCCCATTACTAGGTATATACGCAAAGGATTATAAATCATTCTACTATAAAGACACATGCACATGTATGTTTATTGTAGCACTATTTACAATAGCAAAGACTTGGAACCAACCCAAATGCCCATCAATGATGGACTGGATAAAGAAAATGTGGTACATATACACCATGGAATACTATGCAGCTGTAAAAAAGAATGAGTTCATGTCTTTTGCAGGGACATGGATGAAGCTGGAAATCATCATTCTCAGCAAACTAAAGAGGAACAGAAAACCAAACACTGCATGTTCTCTCTCATAAGTGGGAGCTGAACACTGAGAACACATGGACACAGGGAGGGGAACATCATACCCAGGGGCCTGTCAGGGGATGGGGGGGCAAGGAGGACATTAGGGCATTAGGACAAATACCTAATGCATGCGGGGCTTAAAACCTAGATGACAGGTCGTTGAGTACAGCAAACCACCATAGCACATGTATACCTATATAACAAACCTGCATGTTCTGCACATGTATCCCAGAACTTAAAGTATAATGAAAAAAAAAAAAATTAAAAAAAAGCATTCCATAGGCGAGGCTCTCGCTCCCTAAAATTAGAAGTCAAACTTTTACTTGCACATATGAAAAGTGCATTAACTAAGCTATTTCTTCAGTGACTACTGAATTCTGCTCATGATGCCAGGTACTTTGCATATATTATTCAGAAGCTTATTAGCTGCCATGAAGCATCAGTATCATTTATTGCTGCACTCTAGGTGAAGAAATTGTTGCTGGGAGCTACAACAGCTTGCCCAAAGCCACAACGATTATAAGTAGTTTCCACTTCGTGGTGCTCTTCTTTGCTGGTGTGAGATCCTCAAGGGCCAATGTCCTTTATCTCTAACTCTAGAGACTCACCCAGACCTTGGAAGAGGTTCACATTCCTGCGTGCCGAGATCGATTATGAGCCACCCTCGGTCTCATTCGTTGACTTCCAATAAAGCATTGGCTGGTCGAGGTCTACATCAGCATTGTTTTCATTGGTTATAGCAACTCAGAAAAATATGTGGAAAAATATTAAAACTTTCAACAGTATGATTGCAAGGAAATCAGAATAAACGAGTTTAAAATGCCTCTGACCCCAGTCCTTAGCTGAAGCCGTTCTCCAAGGGTTTTGCAAACCTGCTTTCTGACGCATCTGGTAAACTTGCCCGGGGCGAACTGTCAGAAGAAGGTGCGGTCACCTGGAGTTTCCCAGTAGATACTTTGCTGTCCCGGGAGGAAATCATCACCCGAGGACGTAAACCCTCCCGCCCTTCTTTCGGCTCATAAAAAAAGCCTGGCACTACAGTCCCTACTGCGCTGCTGTGAACGTAGCTTTGAGAAGCAGGCGCCCAGTGATGGGGCAAACAGCCAGGCCCTTCCAGCAGCGGTGAAAGCTCCAACAGCAAACTGCCTGGGAGCGGGGTAGGTCACCAACTTCGTTGCTCTAACTCCCTGGGTGTCCGCCGCGGTGGTTAAAAAGGGGTTCGGGGGTGCGGGACCCAGCCGCGCGGAGCCCACCACTGCCGCCCGAGGGGGGCCCGACGGTGTGGCGTGGCGCAAGAGCTCGGCTTTCTCTCGCCGCCGAAAGCGGGCCGCACCGATGGCCAGGTGAGGAGGCGGCGGCAGTCGCCCAGGAGGAGAGGGTGGCGCCCACTCCGTGTGACAGGAGGGCGCCCCAGGGACGCTGCCTCCCCCGCGGCCGAGTTGGTTGCCGCCGGTTGCGCGGCGCAGGATTGGGGGCGGAGAGGAGGCAGTAGCTGCACGGGCCGAGGAGGGGCGCGCTGACTGCGCACCGCGAGCCTGGAGTGGCCGGCGGGCGCACGGAGGAGAAAGGGTGGGCGGGGGCAAGGGCCAGGCGCTGGGGCGGCGGCGCCAGCGGAGAGCGGCGGCTGGGAGGAAAGATGAGACGGTGAGTGGGCTCCGGGGGCGCAGAGTTTCTTTGCTTCTTTACCGGCTGTAGGGACAAAAGTCCGGGCTGGGGTCGGCGGTGCCCAGGCTGCGCAGCTGTGTGGGCGCCTGAACCCCGTTGTGCATGACTCTCGCGGGGCTGATTGAGGGGATCCCGGGGAGGGAGTGTCTGGGTAGGGGAGATGTTTCCAGAGTGATTGTAGGAAACAGGCAGGATGTGGGGGAACCGGGGACAACTTTATCCAGCAACTCTGGAATGCACATGGAGAGAGGGATGGGGATCCTTGCGATAGCTCCCCAAGAAAGAGAAGGTCCGCTGCTGGATGGTGTGGGGCGCCGGATTCAGAGAAGACCCCTCCCCGCAAATCTCTGCCTAGCTGCGCTTCTAGTTCACTTTCTTTCAACAGTGAACCTCACGAGCTTTAACCGCCTAGAGCTTGATTCCGATTCGGCCTTTGAGCCGCCGCCCCCCCCCCCGAAAGTTTATAGTGTGGCGGTCTCCGCACCCCTAGAGATAGCAGCTGGAAGGCTTGGGGAGTATTTTAACCCTCTGTTTCGCAAGCGCCCTGCGCGGCGGAGGCGCAGCTGAATTGTTTGCTGGTTCATTTAATAACTTGGCCCTAGCAGTCATCACTTATTAAAGAGCCGAGGACCTGGCTGACTCCCGCCACCACCAGGAAATTAAAAGGCTGACAGGCTGTCCCTCCCAGGGTTGGGGTTTCCTGTCTGAAAGAGCTTGGGAAGTCAAACTGCTTCGCAGTTCCTCATTTACCTTTCTTATGTAAAAGAGGGAGCGACGCCCGCAGCTTTTTCTGATGGTAAACTATCCCTTGTCTGGAAATCCTCCGGGCGCCTGGCCCTGCCCTCTTCCCTAGAAATCTTTATCCTGCAGCTCTGAAGTAACTCTCAAGAGCTCTAGAATGCACAGCTAGTCATAGGCAGGCACAGCTGGGAGTGGAACTAGACGAGGCATAAAAATGTGGAGTCTTTAGTGTAAATATTTGTCAGCCACATATTCCTTCATAATATGAACGTGTAAGTTACAGATGTAGATTTTCAAGTATTGGACGTGCAATTTTAAGCTTCCTTCTTTGGTTTAATTTGGGCATTCGAGATGTATCTCTGCGATTCTGACGTCTGAATTCGGCTGGGAGAGGTCTAAATGAAGTCCATAATTTCAGAAGGTTAAACTTTTGCCCTGTGAACACGTGAATTCTTGGTTCCTGGTAGGATAGCAACAGGACAGTCGGATTTGGGATAAATAAACCGTTAGAGTTGCCCACTATTTTAACAGAATGGCTATATCTCTCTTGCTGTGGCCTTCAATTGTGTAAATATTTGTTTGAATAAAGAGCTAAGGTTCTTTGAAAAGTAACAGTCGTGTCTATTCTTGGCTTCCCTTTCATATCCTCTGCTTAGTTATTTAAAAGGATTTTTTTTTTTTTTTGCCTCTTAAACGTTTAATGGGGAAAATTAAACATTACATATACTTAAGAAACTCTGTAAAGTCTCCTAACCAGTTATAACTGGCAAATCCTTTAATAGCAAGGAAGAGTTGAGTTTTTGCTCTTAGTTGGCTAATGTATTGGCTAATGTAGCCTTCTTTCACCTCTTGAGACCCAGCGGTTTGCAGATCTCAGCCTCTCTCACAAATGGAAAAATGAGATGTCTGGTTAAGAGTAGTCATCCTTTCAGTCAATTTGCAGGCCTCAGTCTGTTTCATGCAGCTGGCAGCTGCTGCTGTTCTGGTGTTGAGATCGACTGTCACGGATATCGCCTGCATCCCTGTTTGAAATGGGGAGGAAAAGATACTCAGGAAGTTAGACTAAGAACTTGCTCACTCCTATCTTCAAGAACTTTGACCAAGCTGAAATTTGTTAGCTACCTTTCCAGAAACATTTATTTGCCATGTGTGTTTGTATGTGTGTGCCAGAGAGGGAAAAATAAGCCAAAGTGATTAACCAACCTCTAGTTTTTGCTGTTTTCTTCAAAGCTCCATTTTGAGGTGTATAAGGAAGGGTTGACCGTGGAGTGTATTGGAGAAGTACCTCAGCTTACTGCAACTTCTGCCTCCTTGGTTCAAGCCATTCTTCTGCCTCAGCCTCCCGAGTAGCTGGGATTACAGGCGCCTGCCACCACGCCTGGCTAATTTTTGTATCTTTAGTAGTGGTATGGTTTTGCCATGTTGGCCAGGCTGGTCTCAAACTCTTGACTGCAGGTGATCCAGCTGCCTTGGCCTCCCAAAGTGCTGGAATTACATGCATGAGCCACCACACTAGGCCTCCTTTTAAGTATTTTTAAAAGAGTAATTAAGATTGTGGCTTTATAAGCTAATTTTCAACCCTCAGCCTGGAGGCAGTGCTATGGGCCTGTGCATGGCATAGACAGTGGCTCTGTACATCTTCTAGGTGGAGTACCTGTGCCATGTAAATCTGTTACGTCTTGGTGTACTTAATTGTTAATTGTGTAAATGTCACTCTTTTGAAACAAAAACACCTAAGTGATGTGTTTTATCTTAAAAGTCCTGACATACATTAGAGCTGTGGTTCTCAATGGGAGCGGGGATTTTGGCCCCTGGGAGATACTGGTAATGTGTTTTTGTTGTGACAACTGGCCGGAGGACATTGCTACTGGCACAGAGCTGGTAGAGGCCTGGGATGCGGTTAAGCGTCCTGCCACACACAGGACACAAAAACAGTGATGCTGCAAGCCCTGTGCTGGAGTATTGCCTGGGGGAGCATGTTAACAAGATCAGGGATCTTAATCTAATTTGGATCCTCAAGAAGCTTGTTTAACTGTGTTAAACAAGAGGCCTTTATCACAGAAGCAAATTTGTATGCAGCAGATTCTTTTGTCCTTCCCATTAAGAACCTTAATATACCATAGAGGTCTAGGAACTTGTGTTCATTGACAACTTTGAGTTGGATTGAAGTCATGGGATTTTGGAGCGTTAGAGCACCAGGGAGCCTCAGAGATCATTGATTTCTACCCCTTCATTTTATAAATGTAAAAACACTCAGAGCTTTATGCCTCACAAGGCCTCAAGTGAGCAAAGGGTGGGCAGACAGAGTTCTAGGTACAACCCAGAAGTTAAAATTTTTTAAATAGAGATTCAGGAGAATGGGAACCAAAAACAAAAAACGCTGGACCTGACCCTTTGTGAGAGTTTAAAAGCACCATTCCCTGTGAGAAAATAAATAAATGCTTCAATGGGGGAGGGGCAGCATTAGCCATGGAGACTGCAGAGCATACGCCTGGGTGCCCCACTCCGAGAAAGAGGTAATTCCATTATATGACTGTGACACTCCACTTGTGATGCCTACACCATCCTTTCCATGGCAAAGTGGGCAACAGATGGTTCTACAGACATAGCAGATGTTGCTTTTGAATCCAGGTACAAAACAGAATGTTTGAGATTTTCTGTCCCTCCCTGTCTTATCTGTTAAGAGTAGAGTACATGAATGGATATGGCTGGCCTGGACAGAAGGGAGAATGAAAGAGGCCTCCTGAGTATGGAAGAAAAAAAGACACCTGGCATATGTGGAAATGAGCAAGTGTTGGGGGAAATTGTGGGAGAAATTAATAAGCTGATGAGGGGATATCTAATATAAATTCAATTGCATAGAACAAGGATTAAGAATCAGAAGACAATTGAGATTTAACTCTTTTTTGAGCTGATAGGACAAAATAATTTTGGAGGTAAAAGGAACCTTAGAAATTGTCTTATATAAATTTTTTTCCCCCAGCCAACTCACTGGGTTAGATAGCAGCAGAATCTGCAAACCACCTGTTCTGTCGCACTTCTGCACCCACAGTCTCCACCATTCCGTCTGTTTACCTAATGGGAAAGAAAATGATGGTAAAGAAAGTTATTGTTAATTGCTTGGGAGAGTTTAAAAAGCATGGTATTTGTGAATGGATCTGTTTGTAGAAAAGAGTTATCTCAATGAGTTTTTGATGATCAGAAAAGCTGTACACCATAGCCTGCTTAAATACAAACGTGTGTACTCTCTTGTTTACATTGCTGTGGTTAGCCATTACGCTCATGATTATGGATTCTGGTTCTGTTTGCCGAGTGGTCCTGGTAGTCATTTTATCTAATAGTCAAATCTGACAGGTTCTGGCCATATAGGAAAGTTTTTAGTATGCCTTTGCTGGGAGATGTAAAACCTCTGAAAGGTGTTAAGATAGTTTCTTATCATTTTGACAGCTAGCCAAAGGGTACACCTCAAAGCCAAGTACATAGTAATATATTTAGAAATGACTCAGGAGTGATGGCCCTTTTAAGGGATCTGCCCTCCTGCAGGTACTACGTGAAAGGGGTGTAGCAGTCTTTTCATTATCACCTTTCATCTGGCCATTCTTGTTACTGTTTTTCAGATGATGGGAGAGGAAACATGAATAACTTTAAAAAAAATAATAATTGTTGGCTAGAAATATTTATTGGGACTTGATTAATGTAACTTGTCTTTTGAAAATAAATAAAACCAAAATTGTAGCTCAGGTTTTTAAATCCCTTCAAAGTAAACATTTAGTAAAGGCAGAACTTATCTCTGTGTTCATCCAGGAATTTGAACCTTCCAGGAGTTAATTTGCACGCAGTTGTTTTTATGATGTTTAAGGAGGTTTCTTAGACATTGCAGAAAAGTAGCTTTGTGCTATATCTGCTTTAAAGGCAAGATTGTTGTCTGTAGCAGCTA